CGGTAGCCGCAGCCCAGGCAGGCGGGCCGGGGACACGCGCCGACCCCTCCCCCGTGCATTCTCCGGCCGCCGGGCCTTCCAGGACGCCCTGCAGCGGGGACAGGGGGACAGAGACGCACCCTTGGGCAGGAGCCGTCGGTGGGGCGGCCGCAGGCCAGACCAGCAGCCCCGCTGGAGCCAGGTGCAGGGCCTGGGACGCCGCTGCGAGCGCACAGAGCGGCTGGCGCCGCAGGGAGCAGCGGGCTGGGCCAGGCCTCCCGGGTGACAGGCCCTGCGCTGACTGCGAAGAGGGCAGGAGCCCGGCAGGAAGAGACTGGACCTAGAGCAGGGCCGGCTGCCTCACTCCCTTATCTGAGCCGAGGGATCGAGGAATGTAGAGCAAGGTTTCCCCCGTCCTAAGAAAGACACTTGCTTTGGGGAGCAGCACCCTTTATCTGAGACAGCTCAGCGGGCAAGGGGTCCTTGGAGCCTGGAGCACCCCCCGGGCTCCTTCAGCTGAGGCCTCTGCGCCTCACAGGGAACAGGGAGTTAGAAAGGAGACCAGACAGCCCCTGCTGCTGCCCTGGGGACAGAGGAAGCGCCCTGCCTCTCCGGGCCCAGGAGGAGCTGGGCCAGCAACGGAGGGGTCCTGGCCCCTGAGGCGGCAGTGGCCATGTCCCGGCCAGGCCAGGGTGTCATGATGCAGGTGAACGGGCTGGGCTTCCCACCGCAGAACGTGGCCCGCGTGGTGGTGTGGGAGTGGCTGAATGAGCACAACCGCTGGCGGCCTTACACGGCCACCGTGTGCCACCACATCGAGAACGTGCTCAAGGAAGACGCGCGGGGCTCCGTGGTCCTGGGGCAGGTGGATGCCCAGCTGGTGCCCTACATCATCGACCTGCAGTCCATGCACCAGTTTCGCCAGGACACAGGTGAGTGGCCCCGCTGCCTGCAGAGCCAGGTGGGGACAAACACCACCAGCATCGCTCCCTCAGCACCGCCTCGCCTGGAGGGCTGCTGACATCCCCTGTGTCCCTGGGGAGGGAGCCGGGACTTCAGGCAGGCCAGTCTGCCATCCAGCCCCCCACTCCTCCCCCAAAGAGGGACAGCCTTGCCTAGTCCCGTTTAAGACTTCGGTTCCAATCCAGCCTCTTAGTTGTAGGGTCTCAGGCAAGTTACATCATCACCTCTCCGATTCAGTTTCCTCATCTGTAAAATGGGTGGATTAATAGCTCTCAGGGCCCCGTAAGGATTAAATAAAATTGTGCTTACTGAGCACAGAACATAGAAAAACACTAGCACTCAGTTATCATAGTAAAAGGACTTTGCATGCACTTCCTCTCTTGATTTTTTCCCCAACAATCACAGACAGTAAGGCTTATTATTGTATTAGTAGTAGTAGTCATCCCATTTTACAGATGAAGCAACTGAGTCTCACAGAAGCTAAGTGATTTAAACTCAGAGCTGGGATTCAAGCCCAGGCCATTGACTTCCAGAGCCAACGCTCTTAACTGGTATCCAGCACCGGCTCTGAGCGTTGGTGGTGCTGGGTGGCATGATGCTGGTGGTGTTGAGGGGGAAGTGGGGGGGTCATGATGGAGGAGATGGTGGTGGTGGTGTCAGTGGGAGTACTGATTGTGGCATTGGTGCTGATGGTTGTGTTGGTGGCTGTCTTGGGGTTGGTGAGATGGGGTGGTGATGATGATGGGGTGGAGAGAATGAGTTTGGTGGCAGTCGTGGTGCTTGTGTGATAAGTGATAATGGTGAGAAAAACGGGGAGGTCCAGTCCCCGCATTTTTGTTCTGGAGACGTGCCATCGCCGTGGAGATCTCCCTGAGTCGTTGTTGCCTGGTGGTCTCTGTGACAAGCCTGGTGGGCAGTGGGGGATGGTGAGCCCCTGCCTCTTGGAGGCTGCCAAAGAATCCTTGTCATGTTTGATGCCAAGGGCCAGCTGATGGAGGTTTGGGGGCCGTCCTGGGAATCCGTGGATGGCAGAATCCCGTGCAACAGCTTGGAGACGTAATCTCACAGATAATCAGTTGCAGGTCTGAGAATATGACATAAACCTGGCCTAGGAGTGGTCATGGGAGGCTCATTTGCGGAAGGGATGTTAGAGCGGAAGTTTGAAGATTGCGAGGGGCAGTGTTCCAGGTAGGCAGAAGGCACAGCCAGTGCAAAGGCCCTGTGGCAGGAAGGAGTAGCGTACATTCAAATCCATTGTGTTTGGAGTGCAGTAAATGTGAGGAAGCTTACACACCATGAGGTTGGAGCATGGCCTGGACAGCCACAAAGAGGGCTCTAAATATTTTGAGCGAGTCATCATGGAGTCTTTGTGCCTGTTCTTCCAGAGAGGCACTGTGCCCCTGAGAGAAATGAGAAGTGCCAGGCCTCCCCGTCTCATTCTCTCTGGTTTTTCCTGGAAGGCAGGGGTCTGACCGCAGAAGGAAGTGGGTTTTCTCATGGGCTCGGTGTCTGCAGGCTCAGAGCTGGTGCTGGATGGACATCTTCCAGGCCTGGCTTGGGATGGGGGGTGGTCCTTAGAACAGGGATAGCCCCACCCAAGGCTGCCTAGCTGGCCAATTTGTCTCTGATCCCCCCTTTTAGGGTCCTTTTTCTCTTTGCAGCACCCCCACTTGGGTTTCTAGCTCCTCAAACTCCCTTCACCCCCCCTTTCAGCAGGCCCCTTACTCTCACTGGCACCTGTCACGGTCCAGCCTCTCTGAGTCCCCCAGAAGTTCAGCTTTGGTCACTTCCTGCCACCCCCTCCCGGAACTGCTCACTCCACACCTGCCCCTGTTTGCCGGAAAAGGGAAAAAAAGCCCTCATCCCTCCACGGGCTCCTGGGAGCCTGCCCAGACCCCCAGCGAGGAAGGCAGGCCTGGGAACCTGCGGGGCTGGCAGGGAACCTAGAACGCCAGGAAAGCTGCCGGAGGGAAGGCACACTGACCTCCAGACGTGTCATAGTGTGTGTGCACCCTTCTCCCAGGATGTCTCGTCTTCACTGTTTCAGGTCCAGGGAAGACCCTCAGGCAGGTGTCCTCACCTCTCCAGGCCTCAGTTTCCACATCTGTGAAATGGGCAATGGCGTCGCTTTGCTAGCAAGGTTGATGGGTTGGTGGAGAGAACCAAGCCTGCTATTTTACCCCACAAACCTTGACTAACCACCTACCATGTGCTTAGCATGTGCTGGACACTCTGATACTCAAAACGAGTGGGAGATCCTAAATTTAAAAAGATTACACATCTCTCTCCCCTCCCTCATATGCACACACAAAACAATATAAAGTTGTAAAACCCAAAGTTTGTGTATATGTATTGAAATGAGCACAGCTTCTCTCTAGATGTCATTGTAAAATTCTTGGTAAGTTCATTGAAGCTGAACTTGAACTTGGGGGTGTAGCGCATGCCCAGCTCTGCTAGTGCCCTGACATGGGATAGGGGCAGATAGGACATATTTTAGCCTTGTTGGCCCTACTGTCTGTTGAAACAGCTCGACCCTGCCGTTGTCACGTGAGAGCAGCCGCGGCCGGTCTGTAAATGAATGAACGGAACGTGGCCGTGATCTCGCTCTCAGCTCGTGAGACGCACAAAAGCATGCGGGAGGCGGTTGGCCCGGGGCCGCAGTTTGCCAATCCTCGCCCTTCGTGTTCTTAACCTGCCCCCGTGGGGTAAGACAGTGCTGGTGCCACAGCGCCCAGTGTGACATACGCTAAGACCCATGCCCTGTGGTGTGTGCCAGGGTGGGTGGCCACGCGTGTTCAGGCATGCACACAGCACCAACCCGCTGTGCACCACTGACACACAGTGCCCTGTCTGTGTGCCTGTCCTGCAGCCGGTGAAGGAAAGCCAGGTGACAGGCTGGGACCGCAGGGGAGAGGCCAGGCCCAGTCCCATGGGGGCTGCTGTTCATTCAGCCAGTGCCCCCTCCCCCCTCCCCTGCTGGGCTGTCGTCATTGCTCCCCATAGCATGTGAATTTCCCTCTGAAGCAGGGGGATGCTGTGACCCTGGGCCACATGACCTTCCGTCACTCATAGTGGTGCCCCCTGTGAGACCACAACTTCCCCGAGGGTCATTTGCCAGCCCCACCCCCGCCGAGGACCTCACCCAGTGCCTGGATTTTCCACCCAGTCCCCACAGCTGGACAGAGATGGGACTTAGCCACTTTCCAGGCAATTTCCAGATTCCTCCCTGGACGCCCGTGGCTGGGGGAAGGGGAGAGGGGGCCACCTTTCCTACTGATGGGCGTCTCCCATTCTCCTCTCTCTCTGCTGCTGGGGGAACTTGTGGCAGCTTTCTGTCCATTCTGTAGATGGGACAGCTGAGGCTGGGGGAGGCCAGGCTGGGGACCATCCACAACTGCTGTCCCCAAGGCTCAAAACACAAGTGTGCCTGCGCTCCCAAGCTGTCAGGTTGGAGTAACAGGTGGCAGCTGGCTTCGGCATCTCCCAAGCCTACATCATCCCTTCTGTGGGTGGCCGGGGCTCCACTCAGGCTTGGTCCCTGCCTTTATGGGCACATCCTGTCTGAAGACATGCTCGGGCTATGGGAGGCTAGGTGGAGCCACCCAGATGGAGCAGCAGTCATCACCAGGGAAAACACTGTCAGAATGTAGGCTCCTATGCAGGTCATTGTACAGACAGAAAACTGAGGCCCAGAGAGGGTAACTTGCTCAAGGTAACACAGCCGAGCCATCCCAAGCTGGAACCCAGGCCTCTCCAATAGTTCTCAGGGATATAGGACAAGGTGACATTCACTGCTGGGCTGAGAAAGTCCCCTCTCCCTTCTCCCTTGAGAGCTGAGTTGGGACTTGTTGTCAGGCTCTCCCAAGGCAGGAAAAGCGTGTGCAACCCAGAGGCCTCTAGTCACAGGACCCCTTGGGACCCTCTCCCAGCCAAGCTCGGAGCCCCCTGGGGCTGGGCCTGCCATCGGGGCGAGAGGATTATGCATGTTTGGGTGGGGAGCTGTCTGTCCCATGGTGACTCAGGTTCAACTAATCCACACATGGTGACTTTCATTCCCACCTGTCACACTCCCTCCATTTCCATCATTACGGACAGACACACCCCCTTTTGGATTCTGGCTGCTCACCTGGTTCCAGAGCCTCTTCTGATACCATAAATCCATCCTCACTTTTATGTGACACTCAGAGATGCCTGCTCAGTGCCAGGCCTGGGCTGGGTCCTGCGGCTTGGCGAGCAGGACAGGACCCCTGCCTCATTGATGTAGGAGCCCCGTGGAGGAAACGGCCGAGACATGATGGGAATAGCAGTGAACCTCCTGATTAATGAGGCGCCAGATAGAGACCTGCATTCCAGCTGGCCCTTGGCTGGCTCTGTGACCATGGGCAAGCCCCTTACCCTCTCGGAGCCTCAGCTCCCTCCTCTGTAAAATGGAAATAAGAATAGTCCCTCCCTGAGAGGGTTGTCATGAGGATTAAATGAGATGATGTAAGTAAAGCACAAAGAATATTACTTTGCACATAACTAGCACTCACACTCAAGCAGGGGAAACATTTAAATGCCTCGTAGGAGAGGTACAGGGAGCCTTTGGCCCGCCGATGTGGGTGGTGTGTGCCTGAGGCCTCTGAGAGGGTGGGCTTCCTGGAGGAGTCATCCTCCGAGGGTCTGTGTGGTTTGAGGAACACTGGAGGTAGAGGGAACAGCATCGGCAAGGTCCTGGAGAAGACCTCGGGCCTGGGTGGAAGAGGGAGGCTGTGACAGAAGAGAGGAGGAG